TCTCTCTCTCTCTCTCTCTCTCTCTCTCTCTCTCTCTCTCTCTCTCTCTCTCTCTCTCTCTCTCTCTCTCTCTCTCTCTCTCTCTCTTTTCCATCTCTCTCGCACTCTCTTTTTTTTCTCCTTCTCTCCCATTCTCACTCTCACTCTCACCCATTAACGCCCCCCCCCCCTCAACCTCTACCACATCTCAATAAATCTACAATTTTCTCAATTCTGCCAATGAAACAAATGCTCTAGAATCTCTAGACTCTACCCGACGACCCGCAACCCTCCACGGAATAAAAGCCCTATCCGCACCACCAGCTAAGCACGCCCTCCTCCAATCCATGTTTCACCCATTCCGCCGATGTTTTTGCCGTTTCAAAGGCCACGCTGTCGCGCTACGACATCCATCGCAGTGACGTCACACGTCGCTGCCTCCTCGTTACACTCACGGCTATCCCGCCTCTCCCTATATATATTAGCTGACGTCGCCGGACGGCGGTAGACCGACGGGAACCCCTAGCAGGCTTACGCAGCAGCAGTGAATGCTGCATGTGTGTGCGTGAGCGTGTGTTGTGTGTGTGTGTGTGTGTGCGCGCGCGCGCACCGCTCACAACAGGCTGGGGCCTGCTGTAGCTGATTTCTGTAAACACTTACAAGTGGATCTTCGGTAGTTGGGCAGTAGCCGCCGTCGCTCGGCACAATGCGATCAGCATTCGTCTGTCTCGTTACGGGCCCGTACTCGCTAGCCAAATATAACTACGATGACCACAGCAGCAGCAGACCCTGGCTGCCAGTGCTGCAGTCCTGTCTTACAAGGTGGTACATTGTATCTCGTGCGACAGGATACTGTGAGCGCACGCACACGCGACTGATACGCACACGTCAGCGAGCACACGCACACCCCGCAAGCACGCACGCACACGCACACCCACACACACGTGTGCGCGCGCGCACACACACACACACAGTGCCACACAAACACGCACACCAACACGCATACTCGCACACACTAGCAAGCCGACGGCTGAGAGATTATGTTTCCCATGCTGCATCCTAGCAAATAGACACCACTAGTATCCTCACCCCCTTCCCTGTCTGAAGACATGAGCCGGAAAAAGAAATAATAAAAAAGACAGGTGGTGAGAGAGAAAAAGAGATTATACAAGGGAGAGATAGTGCGAGAGAGAGCGCGCTAGAGCGAGAGAGAGACAGAGCAATAGAGAGAGAGAGGGGGGTTAGAGATATAGCGAGATAGAACGCGCGCGCGAGTCTAGAGAGAGAGAGAGAGAGAGGGCGAGAGAGAGTGAGAAAGAGAGGGAGAGGGAGAGGGAGAGGGAGAGGGAGAGAGAGTGAGTGCGAGAGAGAGAGGGACAGAGAGCGATAGAGAGAGAGGGGGGTAAGAGATATAGAGAGATAAAGCGCGCGCGAGAGAGAGAGAGAGCGAGAGCGAGAGAGAGAGAGAGAGAGAG